CACCTGAAGTGTTTCTCTCAACAGGACGGCTTTGATGTAGCAGTGGAGGGAGGCGAACTGTGCTTCCTAAAAGGAAATGCCAAAGAATTTTAATAGAGCAAACAGTTCACTGACTTCCTATGGGAAATGACTTCAAAGCAGCCCTGTCCCTCCAAGACAATGAGATTGTGGGGCAATCTGTCCGTCAATAGCCTGTCTGTCATCAGCAAACGACCCAGACACGGGTCAGCAGGAAGAAAAGCCCAAGACAAACACTGCCAACACAATATGGACTTGTGAATTATCTTGTATTACAGCCATATTCATTTTTGAATCATCTTTTGATAGCTGATACTCATATAAAAAGGAAAAGGTTGGTTAAATTAAGAAACAGTTAAGCATTAATGAAGCAGTCATGTGGCTGTCTATAAAATCAAAAAGTTTAAGCCATATATTAAACATCCACCAAACAGCTGACGGTAGCCATTGACTTCCATAGTATTTTTTTCCATACTATGGAAGTCAATGGCTAACGTCAACTGTTTGGTTGCCAACATTCTGCAAAATATCTTCTTTTGTGTTCAACAGCTCAAAGAAACTCATACAGGTTAGGAACAACTTGAGGGTGAATACATGATGAGTACATTTTCCTTTTTGGGTGACTGTCCCTTTAAATAACCATAATTCAATATCCCAGTTTTATTTTGTTTTCAAAGTGTTTCGCCATAGTTTGGATTTTTACAATGCCAATATAAGGATAGAAATTCAACTGAATGCTTACATGAAAAGCTGTGCAGCCTTTTTAATTTCCATCTCCCCACAGATCTCTAGTCTACCACCATTCAACTCCATTCACAAAAGCATCAACAGGTCAACTCCAGCAACAAAAGATCAACAAAAGACCCAACTGAGAGACTCTTTCACACATCTGACCTACTAAAAAGGCCATTCCCAAAAGCTCAATGCTCCTGACCGGATGAACACTGTTTGCACAAGACTTTAACTTCAAATACACAGCACAAATCATGCAGGTGCACTCTTAAAAATAAAGATAAAAAGTTTCTTTAGATCAGTGGTTTAGATTCTGGGGTTTGAAGCCACCAAAACAGAGATGGTTTACAGAAGAACTAGATCATAAAAAAGTGGGAAAGTTAAGTTTTAGCCCTTTATTTTTGGTTTTAGCTTGACCACCTCAGACCAGCAACAAACCAGCTAAGGTTTTTGGAACATTGTAGCTTGTCAACCAGGTAGACCAACTTGAACCAGCTAAAACCAGCTACCATGTTATTAAAGGCATGCAAAATTACAAAAGCTCTATGGTACCACAACTTTATTTTTAAGAGTGTAAACCCAAATAAACACACATAATCTGCCTTACAAATAAAGATTTTTGCTTTCGGATACTTGTAGGCTATTTTAACTTCCACACATTGCAAAAACACAGTTTTGTGATCAATAATTTGCCATAGTTGCTGAATACTCTCATTTAGGCTTAACGCTTTAAGAAAACAAAGAGCTTTAAATGTTCTTCTGAGGTAACGTGACATGACTAAACTTGTTCGTAAAGTTTTCAGCTCGTGTCACTGACAGAAACATCGCACGCTAATGTTTTACAGATTTCGCTCGAGTGTGTTTTTTACCTTGTAGTTGCATTTATCCGAGTTTCCTCGCTTTCCTCCGTTAACCGGAGCGCTGCAGTACAAAAACACGCACAAAGCCGTGAAAAAATGAACAAGTCTCCGTGACCCAGCCATTCCTGTCCGTCCATGAAGCTCCACTGATGGGAATGAACGCGAGCGAGGCTCCGCCGCCGATCGTGAAGGAGGTGCAAGAGCCTCCAGTCACAAAGTGGAGCTGTGTGTGTGTGTGTGTGTTTGTGTGTGCACAGCATAATGCCATTCCAATCCTTCCGTTTCTGTAGTATGCAAATACAGTGCGCGCAACTTCACCTATTATGTTGAATAAAAAACTTATTTTAACTTACTTTTTTTTTTGCAAAGAACTAGATAATAAAAAGAAAATTCGGTTTAAGATGCTGTTTATTGCCTTTAGAAAATAATATGTGACCCTGGACCACAAAACCAGTCATAAGGGTCAATATTTTGAATCTAAAAGTTTTTGATTATCTAAAAGCTGAATAAATAAGCTTTCCATTGATGTATTTTTTAGGTTTGTTAGGATAGGACAATATTTGGCTGAGATACAACTATTTGAAAATGTGGAATCTGAGAGTGCAAAAAAATCAAAATATTGAGAAAATCATCTTTAAAGTTGCCCAAATGAAGTTCTTAGCAATGCATATTACTAATCAAAAATTACGTTTTGATATATTTACGGTAGGAAATTTACAAAATATCTTTATGGAACATGATCTTTACTTAATATCCTAATGATTTTTGGCATAAAAGAAAAATCTATAATTTTGCATACAGTGTATTGTTGGCTATTGCTACAAATATACCTGTGCTACTTAAGACTGCTTTTGTGCTCCAGGGTCACATATGAAACCGTGCACGTTTACAGTAATCAATATGTTTCATGCTTTATTGTGTTGTGATATCACATAACATACCCCTTTTGCAGTATATGTATACAAGCTTTCTGTGATTTTTATTTAAGTATAGATTTATACAACCATGAATGTTCTACATGTTGCCACATGGCCTCATCATGTTGCATATTTAATCCATAAGTGAGATAAATCATCTAGCGACTTTATACATAAAAATATTTCCATAATGGATGCAGTATAGCCTACTGCATGCTACACAATTAGTATAAATAGTATGATAGTTTGCTATTCTGAACATGTACAAGATTATTTCATAGTTCATTATCAAGCCATGTTCGTTTGTACAGTGGTAAACACACTTCCACATTTCATTGTCATTTAATTTCAGGTTGCAAAACCTGACAGACCTCATATGAGATATTCACACCCTGTTATGACACGCTTAAAACATGTGAGACATCTGAAGTATGTCAGATGAGTGTATAATCATAAACAATAGTGGATAATGCATTAGTGAATTTTGAATGATATGTTACTATGAGATTGGTTACTGCATCAGCTGTTTGTTGAATGTGTGAATCTTCTTGATTGCTAAGATGAACACATTTTCTTCTATCAATAATATTAAAATTACATACCAGTTTGTACTAAAACCAGACACATAAATGCATATTCGCCACCCTCGAATCAAACTTTATCAGCAGATGATAAAGAAAATCCAGCAAATACACATAAAATATGGATGTGTGCAGGTGCAAGACAACATTTTAAAGCAAAAATTAGTCATTATAAAACAGGTGAATGGTATTATGGTTTGGACCAGTAAATTCAGTTTTGAGTGTTAGCAGTCAAGACACACAGTTTCATTCCTTTCAAATAAACATCACCTGGAAAATATTGCTTTCTATGTAATCCTGATGATATTTCTGGCCGTGTCTCAAATGCTGGGGGGAAAAAAGGCAAGAGAGAAAGTTCAGCTCATCTGCTCTGTAGCCAACAGCCACGATGTGCATCCAGCGATCCTGTTTCAGATCAAAGACAGAAATCTGGAGGCCGGAGGAGTCGGGTGCACAGATACACGCAGATCCTCTTTCAGCTCCGCTTCTGTTATAGACCCTCGCATGAAAACAAGCTGCTTTAAAGATGACCACACCAGCAATGCCCCCAACAGCTTTTATGATGCATTCATTATGCAGTGCATAAAATATAAATAATAAAGCCATAAATGTGTGTTATTGCCTATTCTGGACAAATTATAATGGCTCTCTTCATTAAGGAAATACATAGGTTTTGCTTTTTTTATTATAAGGTGTTTTCGATTTATTGTTGTTCCTATAATTAATGAATATATTTTTAAATAGTATTAGCATGAATCATTCCCAGTATTTAAAAAGGTTCTTCTATGGCATCGTGACGCACCTTTATTTTTAAGAGTGTACCTCAGTTTTATTCCTAAACATGACATTTATTTTTAAAATGTATTTTGGACTATATTTTCATATAAAAAAAAAAAACATTGAACAAATTTACTTGAAAAAAAAAAACTAAGAAACTATTTTCACTCAGTAATTGCTACATTTCAAAGAAACGGCAAGTTACACATTGAATTAAATGTAATATTTTGAGGTCTATATTAATTACTTATAAAACAACTTCAAAATATCAGTTGCTACCATGGCATGTACTAAAGATTTTTTACTATATTTTAACTTCTTAACATATTTTTTAGGTAGATCACTGTAATATCATAAATTGTATTATTAATTTGAATGCATTCATTTTCAGTCTACACTGTCAAAATATTTTTTATGAAGTTGTAAATAAAACAACAATTATTGTTGTACATTTGACAAGAAAATGCTATTTAAAACTAGTATTTACTAGCAATTTCTAAGTAAAAATTGTTTAATTTCAGTGTATTTTTGTAATTAGAAAAAAGTCATAGCAATTTTCAGAGCAAGATTTAAAACAATAGCGCCACCTGGTGTTTGCATATCTATATTATGTGTATAATATAATATAATATAATACATTCTTTTAAACACACAAAACTGTGCAAGTACTGGAAATGTTACAACCCCATGACTGACTCAAATGCATTGTTGTTGCAATGCAATGTAATTGTTGAAATGCCCCCCTCAGAGAAACCCCCCTTTGTGACCCAATCAATGCTTACTAGGTTTACTAAACCCTAGTTACAAAGCACTAATTAGTTTGGAGGTGGAGGGCGATGTGTTTGCTTAGCAGTTGGCAGAAGATAATGTTAACTTAACTCCACTTGCAAGTAGAGAAATGGTCTCAGAATTTAAAACCTAGATTAAAATTGTGTTTATATTGACTTTATTCTTTTATATTTTCAGCAAACACAATAAGAATCTTTAGCATTTAAATCATAGTCAAAGATTAATAATTAGATAACCGGTAAAGACATATATAATAAATTACAACACCACAGAGTGAGGCAGAGCGACAGAAATAATAATAATATGATCAAATGTGGATATGCGACAATCAGCGTTCGTCTCTGCTGGTCTGTAAATCACTGAGGACGTTTTTCACCATGAGAAACTTAGATTCTCTGTGTGAACGCTTCAGCTTCGCTCTTCTGTTCTGGAACCAAATCTAAGAGACAGACAAAAAAAATATCAGTCAAACATCTGCAATAAACTTATTAAAATTAAAACTTCAATCAAAATAAAAAAAACTTATTTCACATCTTCCAGTTTAGTAGTATGCATAGGTCTAGTACACATCCAGATATCCCTTAACAAATAATCCTATATTAAATAAATAATAGGCCTATGGTTATCGATATATAGATATACACCAGTCTTCACCTGAATTCTGTCCTCATCTAGATGCAGTTTCTTAGCGAGTTCTTCCCGTATGTCAATGCCTGGGTATGAGTTCACTTGAAACACACTCTCCAATATCTTGATCTGGACATAAACAATGTATATAGTTAATAGCAAAATTATAGATAAAACAGATTATTTATTATATCTATAGAAATCACAAATAGTCCATGGCTGAAACAGCTTTCAATATTCAGTGTAATAGGTTGCAAAACTTATAGCCTAGTTCACAACCTGCAGTTTTGTGCGTTTGACAATAAGAATTTTATTTTGAATAAATTAAACCCACTGATTTAGTTCTGGCACATATGATTTAAAGGAAAAATAAACATATGTGGACCCTGGAGCACAAAACCAGTCATAAGTAGCACGGGTAGGCCCATATTTGTAGCAATAGCCAACAATGCATTGTATGGGTCAAAATGATCGATTTTTCTTTTTTTTAAATTTTTTTCAAAGGGGTTTTTTTTTTTTTTTTTTTTTTCAACTTTTTTCAAAGGCGATTTTTTTTTTTTTTTTTTCAACTTTTTTCAAAGGCGATTTTTTTTTTTCCAACTTTTTTCAAAGGCGATTTTCTCAATATATACTTTTTTTTTTTTCACCCTCAGATTCCAGATTTTCAAATATTGTATCTCGGCCAAATATTGTCCTATCCTAACAAACCATATATCAACGGAAAGCTTATTTATTCATATAAATCTACATTTAAAAAAAAAAAAAGACCCTTATGACTGGTTCTGTGGTCCTAGGTCACATATAATTTTAAATAAATGTTATGGTGCAGCTGAACATTTACCTGAACACTAGAGAAAGCCGTCCGCGGCCTGCGCCCGATGGACCAGTTCAGTGTTCTCCTGTAAGCGTCTGCTGGTGATTTACTGTCTTCATTCACCCTCACATCCACTGAAGCATCACTGTCTGCGACCACGCCACGGTTCTGACCCGCCGGTTTCACGTCTGAAGTAAATAACATTGTGTTAGGAAATAATCTCCATCAGTTCGCTGAGAAGTGCGATTTATTCAAGTGAATCGGTTTGTTCGAACGGGTCGCTCCAGAGAATCGGTTCAGTAAACCGAGTCATAGCTCGAAATTATTGCCAATTTTTGGTGCAGGGTTTACTTCGAAACAATTTTCCCTCAAGAATTTCATTAATAATTACAACAACAACAAAAAAGCTAGTAACCCAAGTTTTCTTGTAAAACATATACTTAATAACATTTGCTTTATCCACAACTTATCCATAATAGTGTCGTTCCTAATATTAACATTAATGACCAATTTTATCATTTTATTTAATTTTCAAATAATATTTTCATTAATTATCCCCCAATATTTTCAACAATATTGTTTCTTACATATGGAAGATATTTTCACTTTAAAAAGAATAGCCTACTCTAAAAATACAGTCTAAAAAAAATCAGGTAAATACATAAAATTATTCAAAGTTGATACATAATGCTTGTTGTATCCACCTTACAGTGTATACACCTTAGCTAAGTGCAATAAACAGTAAAACTATTTGCACTACAAACCAGTGTGTTTATTAAGTAATTAAAATAATATGATAACTAGGCTACTTCCATTTTGCAAAGTCAAGCAGCATAACGGACTGTTTTTGTACAGGTAAAATAATAAATATATATATCACTCAACTTACAATGCAAGCAATGTACGCTTTATTTTACTGAGGTATAATCCAGTTGCACAAGTTTGGAGAGTTTGATGGAACTCATACTGAGGTTGTTTTCATTTCGGGTTTACAGTAGGCCTATATGAAAACACATCTCTAACATATATTTGTGCCTATAGTGCGAGTTATTTTACCTGTCCACGGTCGGTAAGGTGCTGACAGGACGGTTCTCTGGTCCGGTCTGTCGAGTCCCAGGATGCTGTCGATGGTGAAGGCGGACTGTCTGGGCATCGAGCGGTTCTGATGCGCGCTGACTATGAGAGAAGCCATCTGGAGATCGAGTCCTCTTCTTCTGGTGTCATCTGAGAGCTGGAGGCTCGTCTTTATAGCTCCACACTCACCGAAACGTCACTAATTAAAGCCTAAGACTGAATGTTTTACATGAGAATCGCCGGCCCTCCGCATGGGGCCCCTGGACTGCAGGTAATTCAGGGTCCAAATGAGGCCTTCCAACCTGAAGCAGCAACCTGTTATCTTCTAGAGACACTGAATCCCTTAAAGCTTGAACGGGACAAAACACAGCTGATGTGCCATTCTTTTTACTCACCAGGTAGAAAATTAGGCCCCGTTCCCGGGATTTATCTTCTCTTCATTTCCTTGTGCCGTAACTCCAGCATTATGAGAAAGCAGTCAACTAGTGCCTAATCTTATTTACCTTATTTTCTACCACACAAGTTTACAATAATAATAAAGCCTAATGCTGTTTAAACTAATCCTGCTGAATATTCCCATTCTCTCTTGACATGCATGCTCCGGATCACAAAAGCACAATAGCTGCCTGCTGGAAGCAGCATGTAATAATTGACCCATTCAATGCCGAATTGATCTCTTTTGGTTGCTTGGCTGCTTTTAATAAATGACTTGCTTGTTGTTTATTTGTCTTGGGCTCTCGGAGAGCGCTGAGGACACAAGCGCGGCCCCTGCGGCTCCATTGTTTTGCAAAGAAATGACCAATTAGACTTGTTTAAATGCAAACCAGATGAAGACCAAATTAGAAATGAATATCAAATCACTCAACTTACAATACAAGCAATGCACGCTTTATTTTACAGAGGTAATCCAGTTGCACAAGTTTGATGGAACTCATACTGAGCTTGTTTTCAAATACTTGAAATTAAAAACAAAATGTTTATTAGGTAATATGTATTCTTAGACACTTCGGAAACACGTGACCTCTTGACACCTTAACAAAAAATAAATAAATATCTTCAGCACCCCTGCTGAATTTCTAAAAATATATTATACATTATTATACAACACTGTTTTAACAATTGCAGAAAAATCTACAAAAACGTTTCCAAAACCAGGCCAGTATGACATGCCTTAACAATGCTTCGTATTAACTTTGGTGTCCAATAATTGGTGTTTTTATAGTAAGTTTAAAAATTACATGATGAAAAAAAGAAGAGTGCCTTAAAATGCTCTAAATATATGTATTAACCCTTATTCATTTTAAATTTGTTTATTTTTAGTTTGCTTTTATACATTTTTTTGTATGTTTTATTTGTACATTTATTTATTTTTTTCAATTTTGGATATATTGTACCTGTTTAACAATGGTAATACCTGTTTGTTATTTGAAAAAGTTTAATAAAATGAAATTAAAAAATAAATAAAAACAATTTAATTTAGCTTACTTTTATATATGTTTTCATTTATTTTTTATGTATTATTTGCTAATATTTTTTTCTTTTTATTCTTTTCAATATTGGATTTACTGTAGATGTAACAACAATACCTGTTTATTATCTGAAGAAAATAAAACACCCATTCAAACATTCTAATTCTAAGACAATTCAGCATATAGAAGTTCTGTAAGATGAGTCAAAGATCATCAGCTCATTTGAAAGAAATTTTAATACCAATCTTCATTGTACCTCATAAATCCATCAACTGATTTTGTATAAAGACATTTAGAAACAAACATTTTCTTAAAGGTTAGAAATAATCATTTACAAATTAAATGCTGCAAATGCTTCAAACTCCATAACAGACTGTAATGGAACTGAAAGTGTCAGAATATGAACCATAAAGACCGTTCATTACTTCACGCAAACAATCAAATAACCCAAATCAATTATTGAGACCGTATTTAATTCTCAAAAAAACTTCCACCGTGTCAGATTTTTGGAGAAAAGCAAAAAAGAATATTTCAGTTTGCAATTCCATCACCTGTTTCTTTTATCCACAAGCTGAAGCATTTCAATACATTGGGCCATTTTGTGCAATGCAGGCTCCAAACATCTAATACCAAAGAATAACAAAAATTAAAGTATATCCCAAGTTTAAAGGCATTGGATCACATGATTTAAAAAAAAAAAAAAAAAAAGTTTTTTGTTAGCGTTGAGATAGAAACACTGAGTGATTACAAAACTGTCTGTAAAATAAATCAAACAGATGTGTGTTTGTAGATTTAAAAAAAAGTGAAACAGCCTATAGACAAAAAAATCAGAACTGTATTAATTACAAAGAAAATATAACCTCATGAAATAATTTTGAAATGCAGTAGGATGAACCGCACAGAAATAATCAAGAACAGCTCATATTTTAGAAAGAATTAATTTGCATAAAGAAAATGTCTGTTTTAGGAAAATTAAGATATTTAGTATTATTTTAATTACCATAATAAATCACGTTCTTGACACATTTTGTGAAATTCACTCTGAATTGTCACCGGTGATGTGATATGACCGAAAACACATGCAGCCTTAACAGAAAACGAAGCCCAACATACAGTATTAAATCAGTTATTATTCACACGTGCAACTTCATCGAAATAAAGCAATAAATGTCGCCTTGCATCTCCTCAGGTTTAGTTCATCACGGTAGTGGATTCATTTACACGCATACATTTATAAAACCCTCTAAAAGCAAATGCAGTTCAATAACGGATATGGTAAAAAATACAGGATTCCTACAAATAACAACTTTTGAGGGGTTTTCCCCAAAGTGTCCGCATGAATTCTTTTTTTATCATATTTTGCAGTCACAATATGACATCATTGTTTCTGCAGGCCACTCTGGAGAACCCTTGAAGAACAGGAAGTGATATTCGTGGAACCCAAGCACAGAACGGTTTCTATCAGGCCTCTGATTCGCCCTTTTTCTGCCCCTCCTCTCCTGCGTCGCTGTCCTCTGATTGGCTGTTGCTAAGGACTAAGATCTGTCCATCAGCAGCTGGTTGGCCGGGTCGACTCGACGCGGCTATCAAACGGCTTTGTTCTTCAAGGTCCTGTAAGTTTGGAGAACACAGTTTTTGTTTTTTTAAAGAAATTAATACTTTTATTCAGCAAGGATGCATTAAATTAACCTAAAGTGACAGTAAATACATTTATAATGTTACAAAATATTTCTATTTCAAATAAATGCTGTTCTTCTGAACGTTCTATTCATCAAAGAATCCTGAAAAAATACATATCACAGTTTCCACAAAAATGTTCATTGATAGTAATCAGAAATGTTTCCTGAGCAGCAAATCAGCATATTAGAATGATTTCTGAAGGGTCATGTGACACTGAAGACTGGAGTAATGATGCTGAAAATTCAGCTTTGCATCACAGGAATAAATGACATTTTACAATATATTCACATAGAAAACAGTTAATTTAAATTGTACAATTATTTCACAATATTACTGTTTTTACCGTATTTTTTAATCACATAAATGCAGCCCGAAACATTCAAAACAACAAAATCGTACAGATCCCAAATGTTTACCTTACCTTCTCTATCTGTTTTTGTTTATGAAGTTCTTCCTGTTGTGTCTCCTTGGCTTTGTCCAGCTCTCTCTGTTTCTGTGTGGCGTTGCGGTCCTGTCAGGAAATGTAAAAAAAACATGCATCTTCGTGCATATCATCGGTTTTATCAATTTTATTTGACTTGGCATTTCTGCACAGATCGAGTCATTTGAAATCAAATAAATGAAGAGTTTTCTCACCATCTCAGAGTGGAGGGCGATCTGCTTCGCCAGTCCTACACTGTCACAGATCTAATATTCAAGAGCAAGATGAGCTTAAAACAATCTCTAAAATATCCATATTTTTTTTAAATCAGGTGTATGTCCACATGTCCTTATTAAAGTATAAAATAAAAGGTTTATAAAAATTAATTAATTAATAAAATAAAATAGATCATATAATATTTTGTTATAATTACAATCTAATGATTTTTAAATATATATTTATATAGACTACAAATAAAAAAAAAGTAAATAAATTATAGCATAACTCATTATAATAATATATGACAATATTTATTTATATAATAACAATAATATGGGTGTGTGAGTGTAAATTATAGCTTAATATATATTAATATTATACATTATATAGTAATATAAATATATATTATTATAGTAATATTATATAACATTAAATTATTAATGTAAGAATAAATTATATATTTTTAAGTATACTAAAATGTTTATGTACACTATATAGTATAATGTAATATATTAATATAATATTATAAGTATATATTATAGTAATATTTTATAATAATATAATATAAAATTATTAATATAAGAATTTATAATTATATATGTAATGTAAATAAATCAATTATGATTTTTCTTTTATGCCAAAAATCATTAGGACATTAAGTAAAGATCATGTTCCATGAAGATATTTTGTAAATGTCCAACTGTAAATATAGCAAAACTTAATTTTTGATTAGTAATATGCATGGCTAAGGACTTCATTTGGACAACTTTAAAGGCGATTTTCTCAATATTCAGATTTTTTTGCACCCTCAGATTCCAGATTTTCAAATAGTTGTATCTCGGCCAAATATTGTCCTATCCTAACAAACCATACATCAATGGAAAGCTTATTTATTCAGCTTTCAGATGATGTATAAATCTCAATTTCGAAAAATTGACCCTTATGATTGGTTTTGTGGTCCAGGGTCACATTTGTACCTTCTCTCCATCATTGTTTGACTCAAAGACGTAGCAGACTGTAACGGGTCGTCCGTCCTCTTGTCCTCCTGCCGTCTTCAGCACAAAACCAAACAAGCGCTTGTTCTCCTGATGTGACGCACACAGCACCACACTGGAGAGAGGAAACTGAGGGACGACACAACAAATACTGCCTTCAAAACAGCACTGGATTCAGTCTGAACATCCAATATGAGTCTGAAAAAGTAAATATAAATCACAAAACTGTTAAATAATCGGTTAAGGACCTACCCGTAGTCTTGTGACTTGTGTCTGTGGGTCAATAAGCCTACAAATAAACAAACAGAACATTTTAAGAGACATAAAACTACGGTATAATGTAAACCTAAACCAAAATCTTTAAAAACACATGATTTTCACATTCTCGTGAGTCTGTGCAAAACTCACTGCCACAATATGGGTTCAATATTTTGGTTTGGGGTTTGTTCAAATCACGACCCCAAAGTGATGCTCGACACATTTAATGACTTGGATTGAGACAGGATCAGTTCAAACAAACGCCGAAACTCACTTGAGGCATTCACACGTGACGAGCAGATGAGACTCGGTCATCCTGAAGATGTTGTGAATGGCTCGGGCTACCAGGATCTGCCTCATGGTCTCATAGATGACGTCTGCGCTCTCTGTGGCCTTCACCTCCATGGAGCCCAGGAACCGAACGATGAAAAGCTGGTGCAGAATCGAGTCTGAAACGACACGAGAGACTCGGTCTGACTTCACACCAACATGAAATCAAAATTAATAAATGTATTCTCTTAATAAAAGTCATGTGCACACATATCAAAAACAGATTTTATAATCTTGCATCAGAATGCAATAACGTTCTCTGCTTTTCTGCTAATGTGACCAGATAAAAAAATCATAATCACAATTTAATATGATTATGATTCATTAAATCAGATGAATATAAATCAAGTCCTGGCCTACGTTATGTCCCAGAATATTCCATTTCATCAGAAAATACATGACATTATGTAAATTAAATACATTGCAAATTGCATTTGCATTTCAGGAATAGCACAAACATAAATTTAAATTCTGCCATTAAAGAACAATTAAATATTAACAATTTTAATATTTTTTTTAAACTCATATTCTAATTTTACACACACACACACACACACATATATATATATATATATATATTCCTTATTCTGGCCTTTTGATCTTTTTTAATCCTTTTAAACGAAGTCTCTTCTGCTCACCAAGGCTGCATTTATTTGATTAAAAATACAGCAAAAACTGCAACATTGTAAAATATTATTACAATTTAAAATAAGTGTTTTCTATGTGAATATATTGTAAAATGTAATTTATTCCTGTGATCAAATCTGAATTTTCAGCATCATTACTCCAGTCTTCAGTGTCACATGATCCTTCAGAAATCATTCTAATATGCTGATTTGTTGCTCAAGAAACATTTCTCATTATTATAAATGTTGAAAACAGCTTCATATTTTTGTGGAAACCATAATAAATTTTGTTTTGTTTGAAATCCTTTGATGAACAGAAAGTTTAAAAGCACAGCATTAATTTGACATAGAAATCTTTTGTAACATTATAAATGTCTTTATGGTCACTTTTGATCCTTAATGAATAAAAGTAATCATTTATTTCAAAACAAAATCCTACTGACCCCAAACTTTTAAACAGTAGTGTATACATATTCTTTTATCAATGTACCTTCACCTTCTTCAGATTTTGACCCTCCAGATTCCCCAAACGGGTTGGTCCTTTTTTCAGCAAAGAGAAAAACACAAACAAGTGCTTAATAATCCCCTAATAACAATCAACAGTAAATTGTCCTCTTTTTATAATCATTTTGAAGCATTCATAAACATAAGGCAGAGATACAAATACAGACCTGCCCTGAGCGCCGCTCTTAGCCTGACTCGTGTGCTCCTCGCTGACGGGT